TCCTTCACGAATGCCCTAGCATTTACTAGATAGAGTAGTCTGGTATATATAAGAGGGTGACAACGTGACGGGATAATAAATTTGTGTGTAGGTAGTGAGTAATTGAACTGCAGTCACAGGGTATTGTTGAAGTTAACGTTCGTTCGTTATAGTGTTTGTTTTAGCGCGAATATTGAAATTAAGTGTATCGTAAAGTAATATTCGGAAAGAATAAACCAGTTTTATTAAGTAAGGACTTGTGTCGTTAAAGTTTCGTCGGAACGAAGTTACCGAAAGTTAATTAACAAAAGGAGACGTAACAATATCAATTCTGGTACTATTAGAAACACATGAAACTGTTATGTTTAACATCAAAAGACCCTTCTTTTGCAGTTTTAAAAACTATATTTATATGTTAAAATGTATTATTTGTGGTGAAAAATACGTTGGACGAACAGAAAATGTTTTAGGATTTTAGAATAAATCAACATAATTCAAGCCCACTAAGATGCTCAGAACATTTTTACAAATTGTTATTTGGAGGTATTTTGAATCTTATTTAAATAATTTGTGGTTTTCCTATATTTTAAAATTATGTTTAATTACACAGGCCTGCGATGGTTTTATTGTCTTGAACTTATTACATGTTCCACAGTTATTCCTATAACGCTGAATCCGAAAATGATATTCATTTTTCTCCATCACGTACAGATTTTTCACGAAACATTATAATGCAATACAAAAAAAGACCACAACAAGTAGTTTTGAGACTAAAGGACGTAGATTTGATCTAATAATCTGATCTGAGTAAGAGTTTTTATTTTCTTCCCGATTTATAAAAAATACTTACGTGATAGAAAAAAAATGAACATTATTTTCGAAATCTACGTAGCTGAATTATGAAAAATCCGTTATTAAAACCAAAACACCTTTCATGAGGTTTAACTTCATGAGGTTTAAATAACTGTGTTATTTACAAGTTTTAATTGTTTATGGATTTTATATAATATATAATCATTATTTATATTGATTTTCTAGAATATGTTTACTGGGATGTATGTTTATATTGTGACATGGTTCTTTCTTTACGAGTTCATTTGAATTATATGGTGGAAATAATTCTTCATCTAGCCCACTTAAACGAAAACAATTCAATTTATTTCTTCTTTTAACGTTGTTACGTCTCTGGTCGTTGGTTAATTTTCCGTAGAAATTCTTTCCGAAAAACTTCAGCGATAGTTTATTCTTACTGAATACAACTTTGCAATACACTTAATTTCCACAGTCACTTTCACTTTAACTAAACACACGCTATAATTCACAACGATTCACGCACTTTAGTTACTGTCACTACCGCGCTTGAATCAATTGTCCGTCTCTATCTCTGCCTGTCTGCAATTATCTATCCCGTCACTTTTGCCGGTCTTATATATACAAAATAGAGGTCGTCGGGCAAACACTCGAGCCTTCAGGAACCTTCGAGATACTCATTACGTGTTACCAGCGTCACGTGACTTCCGCTGTCGTAACACTGCCCCTTTCTTAGTATTATTAGTCCCGAACAATAGCCACCTACATTAAACCAATAGATAATTAACAATAACTTAATTAAATGTTCAGAAATTACAAACACAAAATTAAAATTCAACAAAGTCTTTTAATTTTACGGGACGTATCTTCTTCCGCACTGGTCTCTGTCTCGTTGGCTTCTGCTTCACATAGAGTTCATCTGCTCCATCAGGAAATGACCTATTATCGGTAATAGTCACTTCAGTGGTAGTAACTTCATGAAGGGCTTCACTGTTTCCCCCTTCTCAAAATCGAGTAGAGTTTCTTCTTCATGCACCACCCTTGGCTTACGTCGCTGACCGCATTTTA